TCCTCATCGCCACCTGCGGCAGACTTCATCTTCTTGTCTTCTTAGTCTTCGTCTTCATTTTCGTCTTTTTTATCTTCGTCTTCTTCGTCGTCTTCGTCGTTGCTTCAGCTTCGTCTTTTGCTGTCTCGCGTTGTATAGAAGAAGAAGAAGAAGAGAATCAATCAATCCCTGCTGGGCTCGACTTTTTGCTTCCTTTTGGCCCCTTTCGCTTCTTCTTCTTCTTCTTCTGCTTCTTCTGCTTCTTCTTAGACTGCGTCTTCGTTCTTCGCCGTCGACTCTTCGGCCTCGCTTCTTGCTATCTATTCTTAATCTCTGCATTGGTTACTCTTATTATCTTTATTATTACTGCTATTATTAACTGTTATTCCTTGCGGTCCATCTTTTTGCTGCCATGCCGGCTGAGACATTCTAGCAGGTTGGTAGAAGCACCGCCTCTTCTTTGCCTCTTCTTCTTCTTCTTCTTCTTCTTCCTCTTCTGCTATTTATCTGCTTCTTCTGCTTCATCTTTATTGTCTTCCTCTGCTGCGTCTTTGTCTGTGGTGGCTCAGCCTGCATGCTTGTGCAGTGTCATGTCTCAGGTGAAGCCAGCATCACCACCACCAGATAGAAGACAACAACAGCAGACAGACTGCAGAAAACACTGAAGAAGGACTGGAGAAGAGACTGAAGACAGTGAATTGACTGCTGACCCTGCCTAGGCTTGCTCTCCTTGCTCTCCTTGCCGCCTCCGACCTACGCCTGAGACTCCGAGATAGCCATATAACCCCCATATACACACAGGAGAGATAGAGACACCGCACAGGGACAACCAGAAGGAAGAGATAGAGATAGACAGACAGAGAAAAGAAGAAGAAGAAGAGAGAAGACATGCCTATCAAGATACCCGGCTTCGGCCGCCGCAAGTCTGGCCCTGTCCTGGACGAGACGCCGCCGCCAGAGCCCTCGTTCCGCGTCTTCGAACGGCCGCCTCACCGGGCCAGTCACTCCTTCGACTCCGTCTCTGCGTTCAAGAAGGCCGCGGCCGCAGACGACCCGGACCCTGACAACATCTTTGCCGGCATCCAGAAGCCCGCCCCGGCCAGCAGCAGCACCTCCCACGTCCCCGGAACCGCCGTTAGCTCGAGAACCGGCAAGCTGGCCGGCTCCTCCAACGGCTCCTCGAGCAAGCCCTACGATAGCTCCAGCGCCTCGTCCGCCAGATACAGCTCCTCGTCCACCCTACCTTCGTCGACAGACCACTCCCCCCACGATGCCATCCCGGTGCCGCCCATCCCGGAGTCGCCCTTCTCCTTCTCCATTCGCGCTTCGGGCAGGACGTTCTCCTTTGGCTCCAAGGCCTCCAAGACCTCGACGCCCCGGAAGTCCGAGAGCACCAACCGGGAACGGGCCATGACGAACAGCACCACCAGCACGGCTACTCCGCCCAAGCTCATGGAGACCGACCTCTCCCTCGAGGGCTCCGGCGAGATGGGCAACATCTTCGAAGGTGTGGGCGTCGACAAACGCCGGAGCAGAGTACTGGAAAATATACCAACCAATATTCCGCAGGTGAGAGACATTCCTACTCTCCCACCCTCTCTCCTATCTAAAACCCCCCCCGCCTCCCCTTCCCTATAATGGGTCACATATATACGTCTAACACTTGATTTTTTACACTTATAGCCAGGGAGACCTGCTCCGAGCGTGCCGGCAAAGGATAAAAGGGTGGTGTCTCCTTCGCCCCTGTCCCCCCTGTCCTCGAACCACAGCCGGAATTCTCGAGACAGCCTCATTGCGGCTGACGACTTTGCCCTCTCCCAGAAGCTCGCCAACCAATTACAAAACGTAGAGCTGAACGAGTCTAGCCCCAACAACGCCAGAGCTACTACTGCTGCTGCAGCCTCGAGCATGCCCAATTCTCGCTCTACGCCCAACATCTACTCCTCGACAGACCGGGACAGGTTCCGAGACCTTCGTGACCGTGACCGTGACCCAGAAGTGTCCTCGCTCTTCTCCAGTGACAAGGACTTCTCCGCCGTGCCCCGTCAGCCATACCACAGCTCTTCTTCCTTCCGCAAAAATATGCCCCCTAGCGCCTCCATGAACTCCCACTATGCCTCCTCCCTCGCCTCGTCCAAGACCGGCAACAAGGTCATGACTCCCGCCCAGTTTGAGCGGTACCAGCAGCAACAAGCCCAGAGAGCCCCCAGCGAGCCCAGCTCCGACGAAGAAGACGAGATCGAAAGCGAAGACGACGAAGATGAGACCGAGAAGAGGAAGCAGGCCGCCGCCCAGAGACAGAAGCAGGAAGCTCATCTGTCCGTCTACCGCCAGCAGATGATGAAGATCACCGGCGAACAGAAGAAGGCGTCCACCAACGGGCCGGCCGGAAGCGCTGAGTCTGTTGCCGGTAACCCGAACCGCAGGTCGGTGCTCGACCCCATGGAGGTGGCCAACTCCAATAACAACAATAATACCAATAATAATCTTAATATAAACACCGCCTCCAGCTCCCCCGGTGTCTCCCCGGGCCTCCCACCAGGCGTTGGGCTCTCAAAATCCTCCCCTTCAGACGGCGAAGAAGACGACGATGTGCCCCTGGGTATCCTCGCTGCCCATGGTTTTCCTCACCGCAACCGTCCGCCCACTCACCTGGCTGCGTCTCGCTCCAATCCAAACCTGAATGCATCCTTCCAGGCAGGGGCTGCCTCGATTGCAGGCATGCAGGAAGGCCCATCAAAACGAAGCACCTTGCCTGTCTTTGCCCGAAACCTGCCCAAGGACCCGTACTATGGCTCCAGCCTCGTCAACCCGTCCCATCGTGAATCCCTGGCTCTCGGCGGTGGTGCTCCGGGAGTGAACCTCAACACCGTCAATCTCGGTCCTCCAGGTCTTCCCCCCGGTGGCCTGGTCGGTGTCATTGCCTCTGAGGAACGAGCTCGTGCAATGCGTCGTGGCAGTCCCAATGCACAGGGTGTCTATGACCTGTCCCCTGCTCCTCAGGTCCATACCAACTTCCTTGCTCCACAGCCCCAGATGCAAATGGGCGGTCTCCTGGGCCAGCTACAGCAGCACCAGCAAGCTCAGGCCGGCATGGTCGGCGGAATGAACGCCAACGGGCTAATAGGCGGTGCTGGAACAATAAATCCCCATCACCATCACCATCCGTACCCGCAGGCAGGCAGCGTCGGTGGACCGGCAGATCAGACCCAGATGCAGGTCTCCCAGCAAATGACAAACATGATGCAGATGCAGATGCAATGGATGCAACAGATGATGCAGATGCAAGGGGCCCAGCAGCAGCAGCCTCCACCGCCAGGAGGCCCAATGCCAAACCTCAACATGAACGCAAGCTCTGCGTCTCTCCTGCAGCCGCCAAACCCCAACCAGCGGCCCTTCTCTATGGCCTCCACCTCCACACCCTCTCAGTTCCGTGGGCCGCCACAGGTCGATCACCGAACTCTCAGCATGCTCGACCCGCCCACCGCCAGCGTCTACCAGAACCCCGGAAACCGCGCTTCGTTCCTCATGACGCCCGACATGTCTGGTCCCTCACTCGGCATGGGAATGGGAATGGGCATGGGCATGGGCGGCGGCTTGGGCTCCGGACCAGCACCAGGCTACACTCCCTCCGTCGCCCCCTCTGAACGTAGCAACATCGGCGCTGCATCCCGCTACCGCCCTGTTTCAACCATCGCCCCTCAGGCCAATGGCGCTAACCGCTCCTCAACATTCACAGGCCACACCCTCCGGCCCTGGGCTGAAGAACGACCACCACCACTAGGCCAAATACTCGCCAACAAGTCAAATACCAACCTAAGCGCCACCACCCCTTCGACCTCCGAGACCACCCCCACCGTACGCCCCGTCAGCTCCATAAATCGCCGTGCGTCTCCAATGGGACTGGGTAATGGCAGTCGGGGATCTATAGCCGGTCTACCAACCACGCCCGGAACAGGCGAAGAAGACGAAGACGACGAGCAGGGATGGGCTGAGATGATGAAGAACCGCGAAAAGAAGAAGACTGGCTGGAAATTTAGGCGTGGTGGTGCCAGCGGCCATGACGGCTCGTTAGGCGACTACGTTCATCCAACCGCCATATAAACCTGCCTAGCCTTACCTTACCCCTGCCTGCCCTTTGCCCCCTGCTGCCGTAGCCGTATAGTGCAGCATGTTACGAGATGCGATGAGACGAGACGAGACGAGACGATGTGAAGTACTGGAAGGTAAATCAGCCTACCTACCTACCTACCCCTATCCTCCCTATCTGTTTGCTTCCTTTCTACGCGTTTATATTCAAATTCCCCCTTTTGCCCCTGCTTCCGCTTCTTTCTTTTCGCCTTTGCTTGACCTGATCTCACCATGAAACATAAAAATCTCCCTTCATGTATCTGCACTTGAGCTTTGTTCCCCCTTACCCTCTTATCTCCTTTTAATTCCCCCCTGGCCATTCCCCGTCCTCTTTCCTTGATCCTCTTTTTCTCGGCGTACTGCATTTCCTCTTGTTCTCTATATTTTCTTCTTTTATTTCTTCTTCTTCTTTCAATTATATTCCCCCCCTAATTGCATCTGCTCACGGCCGTATGCCAAAAAATATCCCCCAGAAGATCCCCCCCTCCGGAACCGCCAAAAAAAGAAAAAAATTTCATTTCCCGTTGAACGAGCGAGCAAGCAAGAAGACATGTACGGATACTAGCTTAATTTTCTTGAAACTTGATCTGTGTGTCCCTTTTTTTTTTTCTATTTTCCATCTTTTTCCTTCCTGGCGTTATATCAGATTCTTTCTTGCTCTGCTTTTTTCGTTTTTATTGATTTTATCGTACTCAGGGAGTTTCAGCGGGATATCTCGTTTCTTTTCCTTTCTTAAGTATATTTATCTATCCTTTTCTTTAAATAATATTGTAAGTAGCTGTTTTATTCAAAAGGTTATATACTCTAACTGACCATGTATGGAAATATAGCATAACCCATCGCGAGAGAGAGAGCGTGATAGAAGCATATCAATTACCAATCCCAGCCGGTTAGACATCTAGTTTAAGCACTCTCCTGGCCTCGTCGCGGGCTTGACGCACTATCTCCTCCGCCGTCATCACGGCCTTGACCAACCCTACCCCCGTCCCAGCATACGAGGTCATCCTGCCCTTAACTCCCCACCCTGCATCCCCTTTGGTCTTCTCGACTTCATACAGCCGCCTATTCTCCTCGTCAGACATGCCCGCCTGCTCATCCACGTAGCTCTGATTCACCATCCCGCGCCCATCGTACTCCTCCGGCCAGTCCACGTAGCCCCTGAGCCGATCATATACGGTTGTGCGAACAGTTGTCTGGCCCCCGTCGCTCGCCCGGATCAATTCATCCTGATACCCCTTCATGATATCCGTCTGCTTACAGGCCAGGAACCGCGTGCCCATCGCCACACCATCGGCACCCAGACACAAAGCAGCAGCCACGCCGCGACCATCCACAATCCCACCTGCTCCAACCAGCGGGATACCAATGTTCTTCTCGGCCAATGCATCATGCACCTCGGGCAGAAGCGTAATTATGCCTGCTCCCTTCTTCAGGCCGTGACCACCTGCATCCGAGCCCTGCAGAACAAGCACGTCCGGCCGATGGGCGTCAGAAACGTCCATTACGCTCAGCGCGTCTGCTACAGATCCAACTTGTACCCAGACCTTGGTGAGTCCGTTCGTCTCAGCGTGGACGCGAGCAATCCATCCCCCGTACAGAGCCGTCATGGTCTCTCGTGCAGCGCCGAACAGCCAAATAGCTGCCGGAACATGCTTTTTGATAGAGGGCAGTGCGTCTTCGAGTTTGACGCCCCAGTTTAAAAACCCGACTCCAACAGGTAGGATTGCAGCGTTGGCTGTTTGTAGGCTGGTTTGGGCGTGTGTTGTTTGCAGGTGGTGAGCGGCCAGGGAGAGCTGGGCGTCAAGTTTGTCGATGTTGTTGCCGAGGCCGATGAAGCCGATTCCGCCTGCGGCTGAGACGGCGGCGGCCAGCTCGCCTGTTGCAACGGGGAGCATGGGAGGACATATTATGAGTGGTTCCTGGATCCAGGGGTACTCTTTCTTTAGACTGGGCATGATGGTGGTATTGATGATGGTGTTTGATGTGGGTATATGATTCTAGTGGTAGTAGGGGATAAGTAGTTGATATTGGTGTCTGGTTAGCTGGTATGTGCGGTGGCTATCTGCTGGTATATATGCGGTTCGTCTTCCGGGTATCCGAACTGTAATAATGAGTCTTCTGAACAGCTGAAATCGGCCTGAGAGAGAGTAGATGACGGAAACAAGGCGACGTTGAGGCGATTGATAATACAGCCGGCGACCTTCCGAGCTGCCTCCTGGGTTCCACAGGGCGTTTGGCTGGCTGTCTCGGCCGGTGAGCTGCCGTCTGAGCCTCGCGGAGTCAAACACTGCGTCTTCCTGTGTTTCTATGCATATGATGGCCGGATGTTGAGTGTGGTATTAGATGGTGATGCTGGCTGTCGTGTTGTTTGTAGTTAGATGTCGAGAATATGACGTAGTTCGGCGCATCCACAGCCTACGCATATACGAGACGGCTAAGTGAGTCTGGGGCCAGCCCAAGCATCACATATATATCTCTCTAATAGGTTATTTGGTGTCTTTATCGCTGGGAGTCTGTAGTTTGTCTATGCATGTATTTTGGTGAATGTCTCGTTGCTAGTAAGTAGTTGTTGCTGCCATTCAATAGCACTGGTAGCAACTAGTTAATGCATTCACCACCACCAGTATTCTTCCACACTCCTACCGGCACTTATATACTCACGTAGTTCATTATTATCATCTTTTTAACCAATTTAATAATAATAATATCATCTTCTACGGCTTTTATCTTCTTCTCTTCTCTCCCTCTGCGTCTTCCACGTGACTTCATGCTGACTCAGCTCTAAAAAGCGACTCCGACTTCAACTTTGGAATCTTTTTGAATCTTCAACCATCGCAACTCTTATATTTATACCAACACTGCGATCTAAAAGGTCAGGAAAAGGCCCTGCATACAGAGTGAAGAAGTGCATACCCCCTAGCTATAGCCTGCACTCAGTCCTATCAAGAGTGAAAAGAAAAAAGAGAGTAAAAAGAAAAGTCCACGCCGAGCCTCTACCAGCGGAGTTTTCTCTTACTATATATGCATCAAATTTGATATCCTCTTCACACACAAATAATACCCCCTTATTCTTACATCTTTCCTCTTTCTCCTGTCATCTTATCCTTTCCCTTGGTACATTTGTTTTTTGCTCGTTTCTACGCCTCCTGTCCATCATCCGACGCTCCTGTGGGTCCCTCGCTGCTTGGATAAGCCAGGTTCCTCTCCGTACATCGATCGAGCCCCTTTAGACGTCAACTTCAGTCTCTCATCCTCGGGTGGAAGAGCAGTCTGCAGAGTCTTCCTGAGTCTTCCTGGGCCGGCGTTTTTGATACTTTCTCCTTTTCTCAGATATTGATACATCTTCAACCGCAGCAAGATGAATGCTCCAGACAGGTAAGAATAGTTGACTGCTTTGCTGTTTTGCTGCTTTGCTGCTGTTTTTGTGGCCAAATATGAGTCCCTTCAAGTCCATTATATGGTATATCTACCTCCAGATATATTTCCTCCACAAAGCCCCTTATATTCAATATCCTACAAAGTGAGCCTGTTGTAGCTATCAACTATGCTAGAGCTGTCTTTACTATGCTTTCTTTTATGCATTTTCTTGTGCATTCTGATGCTACCAATTTGATATCAAACACTATTCCTTAGCGTGGCTTTTTTGTCCTTTCCACACACACATTTGATATTTGATATTTTGATAACTTTCCTTCCTCCTTTTTTTCTACCTCTCTTTCCTTTTCACTTTTACAACTCACACTTTGTGCACCTTTCTGTGATATCTTTGCTCCCGAGTTTGAAAACCACTGCCTGCATCTATCAAAATGGTCGACGACGAGCGTAAGCGTGATCGCTCCTTTTTCGACTCCTCCTGCGCGAGCTACCGCCAGAACCCATGTCGTACCCAAGTCCGCCCTCATAGGGACATGATCTCGAGGTTCGACCTCGCTTCTGTTTTTCTACTTTTCACAAACAATATCTGCAGCTATTCTGACGAAACCATGCTAACTTGACACTACAGATTCGAGTCCTTCGTCTTGGGACCTGGTGAGAAGAAGGTTGAAGTCGAGGTTGATACTCGTGAGTGACACTGACTCTTCTCTGGTGACCAACTCCTATGAACTGCCATCTAACAAAGCTCTAGGTGTCCCTTCTACTGCCATCTTTACTTTCAACAAGGAGGACCACACCTTGGGCAACCTGATCCGCTCTCGTCTGCTTCAGAACCAGCACGTCCTCTTCTCTGGATACCGCGTAAGAAAACACCCACAATCTTGTACTATATGTGACTATGTGACTATAATACTAACCTACGCCTGTAGATCCCCCACCCTCTGGTTCACAAAGTGCTCCTTCGCGTCCAGACCGACGGTCAGATCACCCCCAAGGAAGCAGTTCTTGCTGCCTGCCACGACCTGGTCAAGGATCTCGGCACCTTCAGCCGTGAGTTCACCAAGGAGTATGAGCTGCGTAAGATGGTCGGCGCCGGCACCCAGCAGAACGATGCTCCAAACGGTATCTAATGGTGTCTAAACTTGTTGCACCCTCGAGTCTCAATCAAACAAATCAAAACAACAAAACAAGAAAAAAAAATTACTTTCACGATGCATGTCACTGCTTGACTGCTTTACGGGTGATGACAGCTTTAATTTTGGCGTCCTGGGAGGATTACTGGGTCATGTTTTTACATTTGCCTATTCTTTGCCTTGGTATACCTCGGTCTCTGCCTCAGGTTTTAATATCATTCCGTCTCTATCTTTAATCTTCGTCTTCTTTTCTCTTCTTCCAATATCTTCTTCTTCTTCGTCTTCTTCCTTCTCGCCGTCAATACATATGTAGATGCCCACGCCAAGACTTCTTCAGGCGGCGTCATGTTTTGCCGCTTTTGGACTCTCCAACGTCAACTTCGACGCTGCGACGACGACAAAAACATCCCAACTCCAGCATCAAACAGCCATCTTCGCCTCTAACCGCATTTCTTTTTCTTTTGCGCTTCTATTTGTGTCTTCGCTTCCTCTTCTCTCGTTGATATTGTTAATTCTTAATCCCCGGAACCCCCATTCGCTGTCCTCGCGTGCTGGTGTGATGTACTCGTTTCCCACCGGCCAGCCGGGCCAGCAGCAGCAGTATGGCGGCCAGCAACAACAGCAGTATCCAGGCTTCCAGCAGCCGCAACAGCAGCAGCAACACCAGCCTGGACCTTTCATGCCTCAACCTACCGGCTATGGAATGCCCCAGCTCCAACCTCAGGCCACCGGTTTCCCTGGCGCCTTGCAGCAGCCGCAGCCGCAGCAGCACCAGCAGCAGGCTCCCCCTTTCCAGTCCTCCCTCCAACCGCCGCAGATGACAGGCTATCCTACCCAGCAGAACTCGAGTTTACAAGTGCCGCAGCCCACCAGCCAGGCTCCCCAGCCTACGGGCCATACGTCGTCGCAAATGGCGCAGTCGTTTCAAAATATCCCCGGGCAGGCTCCCGCGGCTCCTGCGAGGAGTGCGCATGCTGGGTCAAAGATACCGCCGATGCGTTTGTCGTTTATAACGGTGCAGGATCAGGCCAAGTTTGAGCAGCTGTTTAAGTCCGCTGTTGGAGATTCGCAGTCATTAGATGGTGAGTTAGAATGCTGTGGAAGTGCTATGCTTAGGTATCTATAGCAGTCCGAGATTGACGTTTGGAATAGGCGAAACGGCGAGAGATTTACTTCTACGATCGAAGCTACCTGGCAGTGAGCTGTCTAAAATATGGTATGCGGTTTCTTTATATTCAATGGGCCCTTACAATGGCTTTTTTGGCTGATTGGGCAATATAGGGTACTCTCAGATACTACCAAGTCCGGCCGTCTTATGTTTCCCGAGTTTGCGCTGGCCATGTACCTGTGCAACCTCCGAATAACAGGTCGCGATTTACCCGCTACACTACCCGATCGTATCAAGAACGAAGTCTCAAGCATGGTCGACATCATCTCCTTTGCTGTGCCTGATGATCACCCACCACAGGCGCCCCGATCAAACGCCCCCAACTTTGACCAGCCATTGATGCAGAATACCTCCGCTCCTCCTGCGCCGCAACAGCCACAGCCCCAGCAACCCTCTAACTCACAGCTTCTCTCACAATTAACTGCCCAACCAACAGGTTTCTATAACCAGGCTACCGGCTTTCAACCACCCAGTGCTATGCAGCCCCAGCCAACAGGGTTCCCAGGTGGTCTACGACCCCAAGTCACTGGCATGCCGCAAAACCCCCAAGCCACAGGATACTCAGGTCCCCGGCCACCAATGCCACCCATGCCAGCTTCATTCACCGCTGGACTAACCCCTGGTCATACCGGTGGTGCTGCCCCATTAACCGCCCAACCGACAGGGATGCCTGGCCAGTGGGGATTTGTCAATGCACCAGCCACAGGATTACCTAACATTGAAGCACTCCAGCAGAGACTCATGCCACAGGCCGGAAGGGAAACCGGTACATTTACCACTGCCGGACTCTCTGGAAATGCTACTATTCCATGGGCCGTCACCAAGGACGAGAAGAAAATCTATGATGAGCTTTTCCGTGCCTGGGATGGTCTAGGAAAGGGTTTCATTGGTGGAGATGTTGCCATTGAGATTATGGGCCAGAGTGGATTGGAACGTCAACACCTAGAACAGATTTGGACCCTTTCCGATCCCAATAACAGAGGCCGTCTAAATAAGGATGAATTTGCCGTGGCCATGCATCTTATTTACAGGAAACTTAATGGCTATCCTATTCCAAACAGACTTCCTCCGGAGCTTGTGCCGCCATCAACTCGGAATCTTAACGATTCCATTGGGGCTGTCAAGTCGATGCTTTCCCAGGATGCAGAGGCTAGGAAATCCTCTGGTGCATTCTTGCAGCCCCAGAAGACTGGTGTTAGTTACTTAAAGACTCATTCCTTTAATAATTCCGGACCTGGTGGTGCTGGCTATCCAAGGAAGGACGCCACTGTCTTCAAGAACAACGATGATGCCGTTGGATACAAGTCAAGTGCTCGTCGTCGCATTGGCGCCGGCCGGACTCCCTCGCCGGCTACTTCCATGCAGTCAGAGAAATCTGACGATGACTTGTCCGTCGAGCAACTGAAGAAGAAAATCCGAGAAACCAAGATCATGCTTGATGCTACGGATTTCAGAGACGAGAGCCATGCCGAGGAAGAGCAAGCTATGGATCGCAGGGACAAGAGGGAGGCAGAGTCTCTCATGGACAGAATTCGCCGAGTTCAAGATGACATCGATACCGATCCAAAGGCCTCGCTTAGAAATCTGGATTCTAGTGCTGAGCGTCGTAGCATGCGCCGCCAGCTGCAGGCTTATCAGGACCAACTTCCCGAGCTGGCCTCCAATGTACGCAAGACTGAACGAGCTATTGCTGACTGCAGGCTTGAACTTTTCAGGCTGAAGGATGCAAAAGAACATCCAGGAAGTGCATTGGAAATCATTGGCACTGGTCCAGGCGGTGCGATCACTGAGAGCGATCGTATCAAGGCCCGTGCTCGTGCAAGGATGCAAGCCAGAGCTGCTGAGCTGGCTGGCCGACCTGCCCCTGCTGCTGCAGATGAGGGTGCTGCAGCTCGCAGATTGGAAGAGGAAAGAAGCAAGATTAACTCTGAACGTGAGCGTAACGATGCCATGACTAGGGATGTGGAGGAGAGCGTCAAGGAGTTTTCTGCCAGTCTGGAGGATAGTCTTAAGGGTGACAATGAGAATTCTACTCGTGAACATGAGCGACGGCGTTGGGAGGAAGCCCTCGGGGTTGAAGATCAGATTAGAGACCTCATATATGACCTTCAGCGAAATCGTAAGACGGCGAAGATCAGAAAAGAGGAGTTAGTAACCCCCACCCTTCTTTTTACTTTACAACATGCATCATTCGTGGCTAACAAATATCATCTACAGGGAGAGAGAGAGAGCGAGCCGTGAAGCTTCTAGTGCAAACCAATATGGAAGCCAGCCTGAGATCCAATCCAGACCAAGTCCTGAGCCTCGCTCTTCATCTCAGTCGCCATCTCTTGTCGGAACAACGCATGAGCAAAGAGTGGCTGCTGCCAGAGAGCGAGCTCAGCGACGTATTGCTGAACGGATGGCCGCAGCTGGTCTCAAGCCAGCTGATGCCGGAGAATCTTTCATGGAACGACAAGAACGTGAGAAGCGAGAAAGGGAAGAAAGACGCCTACGCGCCGAGGAAGAGGATGCTAAGCGGGAGCAAGAGAGACAGCGGAGGCTGGAGAGTGAGCAGGCCCCTGCTCCTCCACCAGCAAAAGCTGGACCAAAGAAAGCTCCACCACCTCCTCCATCTCGCAAAGCCAGATCGGATTCTGCAGAGCAGAATGAGACGAAGAAGGCCGAGGAGGAAGCCCTTGCTATCAGAGCTAAGGAAGAGCAGGAAGCCGCTCTTAGACAGGAACAACAGGCTCAGGAGGCTGAGACGGAACAACTAAAGTAAGTCAATTACCTCAGAATTTGTGCTAGCTTAGCAGTTCTAACCCATGATTCAGGGACGAGACTAGGAGACAAGAGGAAGAACTTGCTCGTGAGAAAGAAGCCGCTCAGGCTCGACTCAAGGCTTTGGAAGAGCAGGTCCGCCAAGGCAAGATCAAGAAACAGGAGCAGAAACGCCGCAAGCAGCAGGCAGAACAAGAAGCCAGGGAGAAGGAAGCTAAGCTTGCCGCTCAGAGAGCTGAGTTGGAAGCTGCTCAAGAACGCGAGCGTGAATTGCAACGACAGCTTGAGAGCCTTGGAGATGAGGAATCCTCTTCAGACGATGAAGGTCCTGGATTCGTTACCCCTGAGGATACCGCCACGCCTACCCAAAGCCAAGTCATAGAAGAGCCAAAGGCTACAATCCCTTCGCCTGCTCTACCAGAACCAGTAGCACGGCCACCACCAGCTCGTCATATCCCTGAAATCATAACAGAGGAAGATGGCACGCAGGTATTCCGCCCTCAATCCCCTGAGCCTATTATCCATCCAGTCATGAGCAAGCCCATCGTTCCTGAAACCGAGTCAAGGAACCCTTACTTCCGTCAACTCAGCCAGTCGTCCTCTGAGCCCGCAGCTGCAGAGACACCGGCACCAGCACCGGCACCAGAAACCCAGTCAACCAACCCATTCCACCGCCTTGCCCAAGACAACGCCAAATCCGCCTTCTCGGTGGGAACCGCGGCCCTTCCCGGTCCACTCGAGCGTAAGTCTCGAGCTCGTCCTGAAGAAGATGATGATTGGTCCGTCGCTGAGTCCGAGAACTCATCTGACGACGACGACCGTGCTGCTGGCGGCAGCGCTAAGCAACTAGCCAGCATCCTCTTCGGAACCATGGCTCCTCCACGCCCTCTAAGTGCAATGGATGAGCCTCAAGATTCGAAGGCTGCCACTCCACAACCAACCCATAGCCCAATTCCTCCTCCCTCGGCACCCCCAATGCCCGCTTCCCCTATCCCAACGGAGCAGAAAGACGAAGAACCATTCCAAGAAGCACAAGAAACTCCATCTATGCCTCCTCCCGCACCTCCGCTCCCTGATATGGCTGCTCCATCTGCTCCTCCGCCCCCTCCACCACCTCCGCCAGGCGGTGCTCCACCCCCACCGCCTCCTCCACCTCCTCCAGGCCCTGCCCCTGGTGGCGGACCTGGTGGCCCCATGGGTATGGGACGAGGTGCATTGCTAGGAGACATCCAAGCAGGAAAGGCTTTGAAGAAAGTCGTCACCAAGGACCGAAGCACGGCAATGTCGGCTGGCCGTGTGTTGTAAGGTGGTGTTTGTAAACCCAGCAAACTTATGATTGGGTATTTGAGATATCCTTTCATAGTTTCGCTGTGAATGTACTTCTTGTTTTCATTGTTGTCTCTCGCTACTACCTGCTTCTTTTTAATATATTTTGCTTGGAAAGAGAAATAAACTTGTTTAGTAGTCAATGATTCTGGTCTAGCTACTCTGGCGTAGATACAACTCGTGAAAATCATCGCAAGCGTTGCTATTTGCACTGGTTTATTTGATATAATATTGATTAAACAACTGTATGTGTCTAGCCAAGGAGTGAGGATCAGAGTGCATATATGCCTTTATTGCTGTGCAACAGGGGTAAATGTTGAAAATATTGAATGATGAATATGCCAGAGTATAGATATAAAAAAGATAAGGAAAAATAATACCATGAATAAGAATGGGAATCAAGATGCTATACAGTAGAGAAATGAAAACGCCATAAGCCGTACCTCATACAGACACCAATTCAAGAACAACGTTAATGACGGTACTTATAACCCATAGAGAGACAAGTCCAAAGCCCACATTCCTGTCCATCCGCCACTTATTCAACGGCACAACGATGAGTAGTCCAAGCAAGGTTAGCATTAATGTCGCGGCGCTGATAATAAGAGTTTTAGACACTTCAATCGGGTATGGCTGAAGAGCGGCCGACACTGCAGGGGTGATGCTAGCCGACTGCATGTTTTGAATCGGTTGCAAAGTCATATATAAACCTCCGACGCCAATGCCAATGAGGATATTCAGCATTGGGCCGCCAAAACAGGCGCTTAGCGCCATCACCGGGTACCCTAGACGTGCTATAGTGACGTCGGCAACGAGATCGCCGAGTGAGTTGCCAACTGCGAATATTGTAAGGCCGAGCAGGGAGTCACTGATGTTCAGAACGACACCGAAGAGTTTAAGAAGGGCAACTACTTCGGTGGCTAGGGTTGAAACCCATGCTATGGCGACGGTGAACCCAAGGAAGGCGACGAATGGCCGAAGTGGCTTGGGTAGCTGGTTGCGTGAACCTTTAGAGGCGAGGAGAAGTATTATCGCGAAGCCTGAAGACAGGAGTAGGGAGAGGAGGATCGGCAAAATCAGTGTGTGAGGGTCATGCTCTGGACGAAGGCTATTCCACAAAGTTATCGTGATAAACAATGGCGCGGTGTATAGTTGAAGGAGCAAAAGCCATCTGTTCCATTGCTTGACGGGAGACTCCTCTTTGCCAAGGACTTCGCATGGCGGGTGAACCGGTAGCTCTGAATCTTGTCGAAGGCGATTGAGAGAAGGTCGAGCAAGCTCTTGCGGGTTGGCTTCAGCTGTCTCATCGTCACGATAGCTGGGAACAGTGATACTTGGTACTTGGTGTTCAACAATGACTGCTGCTCCTTGATCAGGGATAGAAATAGCCTCGGGTTCAGAGCTGTCTGTTTCCACAACAGGTAGAGTCACAGTGAGAACGAAAACGCTAGGTGCTGCTGCGATACCTAGAAATTTGTCCCATAAAGATTTTTCTCCCCAGTTGTAGAGAGTTGGGAACAGAGCCGATATAATGGCTTTTGGAATGGGGAAGGAGTGTGGCCACCATCTTGGACCAGATACCTCAATGTCTGTTCCTACAGACTGTGCACGAATATATTGTGAGCCTAGAGATTGGGCCGATCTTTGAAATCGAAGGCTTGAGGGCCCATGGGGGGTGTAGCCAGTTTCATCAGTGTACGGGGGGAATGGTGTAATTGACGACCCGGGGCTAGTTGGAGTAGAACTTCTTCCATGGGCTGGGGGCGTAGTTTGGGGGGAAATTGAGGACTGAATAGACGGTGTAGGACCTCCGGATGCGTAACTTGGTTGCTGGAATACAGTTCGTGGGGGAGCTAATCGGCTTGGGGATCTGGATCGATCAACGGACGGGGCAGGACTTTGAGATCGAGAAGGATAGCCAGATGAAGTGGGAGATGCGCAAAGTAGGTTTGCTTGATGTTCAAGGTGAGCTCCCGGAGGATTATCCAGACTATGAGAGAGTATCCGTGGTTGGGCGGAGGTGGACAGTCCATGTTGTCCAAACCTGTCGTTATCGTGATAAGAATAGAATTCAGGACGCTGAGTTGTTGATGCTCTTGGACGAGCTGCTGTTGGGTTAGCAGGAGAAAAGGGATCGTCAGAGTAACTTCGCAAGTGGATTCTTCCGGACTGGAGGCTGCGCGATTTCTCTAGAGAGGAGAGGACTGATCTGAACTCGAGAGCACCAACTAAACTGGGTCGAATACCACCACTAGAAAGCATTCTTTGGTTTGCCTGTGGTCGATTGACTCGCATGTTCTCATGCAGTTCTGCCAGTTGCTGTCTATCACGCTCCTCCCCTTCCCCTTCATCTTCAATTCTCAACGTCGGGATATCTGCCCGTTCCAGCGATCCAAAGTCGTCATTGGTAGCACCTAGAAGAGGGCGATTCTCGCCACCGGCAATTGGGTCATCGTTCTCTGGTACCTCGTTTATCTCCAGCTCCTGGTTCTGGGGTATATGGAAATGGGCTCGGGCTGCAATATCACGCTCTAGTCTTTGTCTCTGCCGGCCCATGTACCAATGCCAGGTAACGACAATGATAACATAGAATATATAAAATCCGATCATCGACGCGCATTCCCAGGAATGAAGCTTGCCGTCAGCAACGAATCCCATGGTAAAGCCAGCGGCGATCGCAAAAAATAGAATATCACGGACAAAGCTTCGCCTGGCAACTCTGAAGGGCCGAGTAAGTGCCATAGAGCCGGCAACCACGGCAGTGATAAATCCAGCAGCGCCAATGAGTTCTCCGATAGCCAGGCTGCCACTATTAGAGCTCATGGCTGCAAATGTAGAGAACACATCTGGACTCCCATTTCCAAAGGCGAGAAAAGTCACGCCCGTCAAGCTCTCGCTCATTCCAAGAATATTGGCGATAGTGCTCAGGTTGACGCATAAGAAGTCGCTGGCGGCGATTCCAACCGTGCTGAACAGCATCGCAAGCCATGCTGCGAGCAAGAAGAAACCGACCGGCTTCGCACTACTAAGCCCGCAATAATAAAACTCCAGGTAAGGGATGAGGCCAATATTCTCGTCCTCACAGTTATCACGAATGAAGGCGCATTGGTGTTTTGCTCGGTGAACCAGCCGGCACTATAGAATGGGTTCAAGTTCCCGTCAGCTACGGAACCTAATAACGAGAGATTGGTGTGGTGACACCCCGAGTCCAAAACGTACCTCTTTTCCATTATCTTGTATCGCCCAGCTCGCTGTGCCCGGCTCCAACGACCTTCGAGTCTTCCTGGCTGCCTCTGGCATGAACAGGCCACCTTGGGCGCTTTTACCGCGGGAAACCAGAAGGCTTCCGAGGGCCACTGCAAGGACGGTCAATATCACTAGATAGAACCCACGGGCTGAGTACCGTTTCCTAGCATTCCGGGTACCGGCAAGGCTGGCGAAAAGTGCGTTTGAAAGGCTCATCTTGAAGGTCGCATTCTGGGTAAGGAGACACGCGAGTACATGCGCCTTTGGTTGACGGGCCGATAAGGAACCAGCGGTGATGTCCTCATATGCAAGAGACTTGGGGCGCAGGCCAACTCCGTTCCTTTATCTCCCTGACGTGTGACGGCTGCAGCGTTGTCTCCCCTGTTCCATCAGGAGACCTTGGATAGTCTGCGGACGGCTCGAATCCCTGCTCGCTGCCAACTTGGCTGTTCGTTTGGTGACGTTCAAAGGTCGGATCGATTTTCGCGATGTTGCTTTTTCTGTCCGTTTTTGGCTTTCTGATGATGTCATCAAGTTAAGCTGACGTAAGATGACTTTTTAACTATTTATGGCATGTTTGTTTAGTTTGCATCAATTTTTCTGATTAATAATAAGATTTCGGTATTACATTATACCCTTACGTGATTATGCCATGATGTTTATTAGTCATCCGGATAAATAAAATTCCGTTTCCGTCTTACATAATCAGTAACTGCGCGACTGGTCGCCCCCGCACGCCGTATGTTTATTATTGGCTTCTTTTCGACAACCGCAAAGGAAAAAGCGCGTTGATAAAGACGCAACAGCAACAGCAATAATTAACTACCAGACGACTTTCTACAGCATCATTAAATGAGTATTTGCCTTGTCATGATGACTATCTATTTCATTTAGTATATATCTGTTTTGAACCCCGACCCTACGGCGCCCTCTGAAAGAACCGCGAACTCCACCATGCCTCGAGTCGCAAACCCCCCGGTGAAGAGCCGTCATGGCCGCCGCAGCTCGAAGCCGGCGAGCAATACCACGCCGCACAAGAACACGCCCAGAAAGTATGTCTTCTGTCTGTTTTTACTTCTGCTGCCTGTGTGCGGCTGCGCAAGTGACGGAGAATCCCACATAAGCCGTTAAAGCGGGGGAAAGCACTACCGCGAAGAAGAGTGACCCGAGTGCTAATCGCTGCGGCCTGCGCATTGCGGCCTTGATATTACATAGAATGCCTCTTAACGACGATGCCGGAGAAAAAGTTGCACGATTACACTCCCGCCAGGCCCAATACGACCTCCAGATGGACCAGATCAAAGCGGCAGTTAAAACGCCGATGCCGCCGCGACGATTCAATACCTATGATGGAGTATCCGACAGCCCACATACACCCCGTGGATCAGTCAGAGGCAGGGAGAGTGACGTCGATGGCCTCGGCCGGGCAGTGACGCCGATGAAACGTGTTCCGATATTAGCCAACTTTGAGGAATGGATGAAAATGGCAACGGATAATAAAATCAATGCCGCCAACTCCTGGAATTTTGCCCTTATTGACTATTTCCATGACATGTCACTGCTAAAGGAGGGTGACGGTGTGAATTTCCAAAAAGCAAGCTGTACATTGGACGGCTGTGTTAAGATTTATACTAGCAGAGTGGACAGTGTTGCAACAGAGACAGGGAAGCTACTCAGTGGATTGGCAGACAGTGGGAATAAGAAGAAACAGGGTCAGGGTGAAAGGGAAGATG